CCCTGCTAGCCAAACGTGAAAAGCTCTGGGCCAATTTCCCCCCCCCCGCCCCTGCGCTTGGCTAACTGCAGGGAAGGATTTCTTATCAGCCACAGGCAAACAGCCCAGTAGGAACGGCCACCTCTGTCCCCTTAATTAAGTTCCCGTATTTCAAGCAGGTTACCATGAGCGATATCACTCTCCTGAGGATTACACAGCGAGATAAAGAACGGATGTTGCTTGAATGCCAGCAAACACCGGGACCATACGCTGCCAGGCTTTGTCAGGCAATGATACCAGATTACTTGCTGCAAGCATGGCGTGGACAAGTGTCCTACCATGGAGGACGGAATAAAGCGGCACTGCCCAGAAACCTTGTGGTAAGGCTTTTGGAGTACCTCCAGGAGAGCTTCATGGAGATGTCCCTGGAGGATTTCCGCTCCATCCCCAGACACGTTAACAGACTTTTCCAGTAGCTGTACTGGCTGCGAATGCATCCCAAGTCCTCAGGGCAAAATAATCATTAAAAAACCTTGCTTTTGAACCATGTTTTATATTTTAAAAGGTAAACTCACCTGAGGTCCCTTCCATGGGGTCATGGTCTTGGCTACTGGCTTGGGAGGCTTGGGAGGGTACTTCAGTCAGGCTGAGAAAAAGCTCCTGGCTGTTGGGGAGAACGGAGTGCTGGGTGCTATCTGCAAGATCCTGATCTTCCTCTTCCTCCTCCTCCTCCTCCTCTTCCCCACCCTCAGAATCCTCAGGTGTAGAGACTATCCCAGACCCGGTTTGCACGATCACAGGTGGGGTAGTGGTGGCGGCCCCCCCTAGAATTGCATTCAGCTCTGCGTAGAAGCGGCATGTCCGCGGCTCTGACCCGAGCGACCGTTTGCCTCCTTTGTTTTTTGATAGGCTTGTCTGAGCTCCTTCACTTTCACACGGCACTGATCTGAGTCCCTATTGTGGCCTCTCTCCATCATGCCCTTGGAGATTTTTTCAAAAGTTTTGGCATTTCGTCTCTTTGAACGAAGTTCTGCTAGCACTGAATCCTCACCCCATACAGCGATCAGATCCAGTACCTCCCGTGTGGTCCATGCTGGTGCTCTTTTTCGATTATCAGCCTGCATGGTTACCTGTGCTGATGAGCTGAGGTATCTGTGGTATCTGTGGTCACCTGTGCTCTCCACGCTGAGCAAACAGGAAACAGGAAATGCAATTCAAATTTTCCTGGGTCTTTTCCTGTCTACCTGGCCAGTGCATGCGAGTTCAGATTGCTGTCCAGAGCGGTCAGTGGTGCACTGTGGGATAGCTCCCGGAGGCCAATAACATCGATTTGTGGCCACACTAACCCTAATTCGGATTAACAAAATCGATTTTGACGTTACTCCGTTCGTCGAGGTGGAGTACAGAAATCGATTTAAAGGGCCCTTTAATTCGAATTAACTGGCTCTGTAGTGTGGACGGGTGAAGGGTTAATTCGGATTAACGCTGCTAAATCCGAATTAAAGTCCTAGTGTGGACCAGGCCTTAGGGTATGTCTACACTACGGGATTAATCCGAATTTAGATAATTCGAATTTGGGAAACAGGTTGTATAAATTCGATTGTGCGCGGCCACACTAAGCACATTAATTCGGTTTTTAACCACATTAATTCGGTGGTGTGCGGCCACATTACCCAATTTATTTTAATCACATTAATTCGGTGGTGTGCGGCCACACTAACCCTAATTCGAATTAACAAAATCGATTTTGGCGCTACTCCGCTCATCGAGGTGGAGTACAGAAATCGATTTAAAGCGCCCTTTAATTCGAACTAAATGGCTCTGTTGTGTGGACGGGTGAAGGGTTAATTCGAATTAACGCTGCTAAATCCGAATTAATCCCATAGTGTAGACCAGGCCTTAGTCTTAAAGGTGCCACAGGACCCTCTGTTGCTTTTTACAGTCTGTATGTTACCCTGCCTGGCCACCGGATGGCATTGATGGTCCAAGGCAGACAGCCCAGGCATTACCCCGGCTGGCCACCGAGTATCACTGCAGCGCTGTGGGAGGGAAATGGTTTCTGCCTTACCCTGAGTGGCCACGTAGTGTCTGTGTTGCTCCACGAGGGAAATGCTTTGTGCTTTGCCGCGAGTGGCCACCAAGTGTCACTGCTGCTGCATGGGGGACATGCTCTGTGCATTGCCGTGATTGGCCACTGGGTGTCACTGTTGCTCCAGGGCAACTACATTCTGAGAAATACCCCAGGTGGCCTCTAAGATACATGTGTGGTAAAGGCTGAGTACAGATGTCTGCTTCCCTTTAGGTGGGGCTCGGTTTCTAATAAAAGTTTTCCACCTTGTTCTGGGTGCAGAGGGAGAATTTCCCTATATTGGGAGCAGCTGATCTTCCTGGACAGGGAGGAGCATGTTCACCTGAGCAGAGGCCTGGAACCGGAAAGGTGAGTACAGGTGCTGAGTTTTTCCTTCTTCCTATGTGTCTCTCTCTGAGCTCTCATATGTTGGCCAACATACTCTCTCTCTCTCCCCTTGTCCTGTCTCCTTGCATAGAACATGGGCAATGGTGCATGCTCACAGGCTTGGTCTGGGGCGTCTGCAACCCACTGGGGCATTGGGAGGGGGAAGAGAAGCATGATGGTACTAGATCCTCCATTGATAGTGATGGGGGTGACTGTGGGAGTTGACTGTCACTGTTCATCAAGTGGGGCTGATGTACAGTGGATGGGAGAGGGAGGTCAGTATCTCGTACACCAATAGAACTTTGGGCAGTGATGGCTCCTGCTTGGGTTATATGCTGTGTTTGCGGAGGAATCGCCCAGGAGCCCCAGCCAGAGGAGAAACTGGAAGAAGTGAACCTGAGCAGCCTGGACATCCTTGTAAGCAGAGATGAACAGTCCTCCGCTTTCTGTCTTCTCCATGACTGGCTGTGAGTGAACAATTATGGCACTCTATTGCTCATCCGTACCACTCTAGTTTTCTTCTACCATTCTCCTGCTGCTCTCTGGCCCTGCTGTATCATGGCACCCAGTGTCACTGTTGCTCCTTAAGGAAATGCTCTGTGCATTACCCCAGGTGTCCACCCAGTGCCACTGTTGCTCCATGGGGGAAATGCTTTGTGCATTACCTGGATTAGCCACCCAGTGTCACTGTTGCTTTATTTGGGAAATGCTCTGTGCAACTATACAGAGTGTCCACCCGGTGTCAATATTGCTCCATGAAGGAAATGCTCTGTGATTACCCGGGGTGGCCACGCAGTCTCATTTTTGCTTCATGAGAGAAATGTTCTGTGCAATTACACTGAGTGGCCACCGGGCGTTACTGCTGTTCCATGGGGGAAAAGCTCTGTCCATTTCCCCAAGTGGCGACCTAGTGTCTCTGTTGCTCCATGAGAGAAATGCTCTGTGCAGTCGTCCAACTGGCCACCCAATGTCACTGCTGCTTCTTAAGGGATTGCTCTGAGGGTACTGCAGGTGACAACACAGTGTCACTGTTGATCAATGGGGGAAATTCTTTGTGCATTACCCCTTGTGGCCACCCAGTCAGTCTTGCTCCCTGAAATGCTTTGTGAATTACCTGGATTCGCCACCCAGTGTCACTGTTGCTCCCATTGGAAATACTTTGTGCATTACCGCGAGTGGCCACCATGTGTGCTCCCTCTAGTTTTCTTCACAGGCCGTGTGCTTCCTCGTTGGGTACGGGCTCTGTGGTACCAAGGCTGCGGAGGGGCCAGAGTCTACTCTGCAGGGTGACTATGTTGGGTGCCGTTAAGGGGGCCAATACAGGGAGGAGAAAAGGGAAAGCGACCTGAACCCTGATTACAGGGCGGTCACCCTTTCTTTAGTAAAATACTCCCCCCCCCCCTTGTGTAAAGGAGGAGTCGCCAATGTGGAAAGATCTGGAAATGAAGTCGAACCCGAGCCCTCGGTACAGCGGTGCGGTGTGTGCAGCCTTTGGCCGTGGCTT